CTATCAGAATAGAGGCAAGACCCTTTTGGGGTAGGGGCGTGTTTGTTTTGGTGATTTCAAATATCAACATTGGCTACCAGAAATCACTTACTCTGCCTTTAATAGGTTATATAATAATATTTAAGAACTTTAAACAATATTAAAAGTAAAAAACGCTAGCATATGTAAAAATTGTGTTGATTTACTTATAGTATTTAAATGGAATAAAGCATAGAATTGAATGATATCAGCTATTGATTTAAATTACCATTGTATAATGAAGCAGAATAGGAAAAATGAATAGAAATAGAGAAACAACAAGAATTCAATGTTTTTCCTGAAATCGCTGATCTGAGATTAGATCCTACATCTGTTCGCTAGCACTGCTCCGTAATCGAACGTGTTTCCACACATCAGCCGGAGAAACAGGGAAAATAAAGAGGCTTTAGCCGTCTGCAATTCAGCAATAGCTTAGAGTTTGACTAGTTATCTATACAAAACATAATGAAAGACTTTAGGGAAAACAGGTTTTGCAAAAATAAGTTTTGAAATCAGTCAGGAATTAGCCAAATTAGATTATCTAAATTCTCTAATATCTTAGAATAAGCCACCCGGGACACGCACAAATATGACGTCTTCGTAACGCGACGGGGTTCGCTTCTTCGCCCCTGCGATTTTAGCGATCAATTACTCTGAAGCGCCCCCTGTCTCTTCAAACAATAGTAAAACAGCAAACGCAACAAGAGTGGCCTAAAATAATTAATCTAACATAAATGAGTCAGATTACGAGATTAAATAGGTATAAAGACAACCGTTAGTCAAACGTACTTAGTTTAAACCAATTGTCAATTAAACTAAAAAAAAAAAAACATATCACAGTTTAAATTGAATCACAGATAATTTCCGCCAAACATAAGATAGCTAATAAAACGGTGAACTATAATACAACAATCATTAAGACCATACGCCCTCGGGGCAAACCAGTCATGACTCGTATTCATCATTTCTCAATAAATTACGAATGGACATAATTACGATGAAAACAGAGAGAAATTGATCTCAGTTGTAGCATAGTCAAATTGTTTTTCAAGGAAATAAATTGGGCTTACCGTGTTGATTCATAATGATTCCAGAAATAGATGTGAGAATTTCCAGAAGATCCTGAAACAAACTGTTCGCTCTAAGAGAAATCTGTGCGTTTTAAGGTCTTTTTTATTACACCCTGGGGACCATATGGTAAATTCATTAGATAACAAAAGAGAGCTTTACATCATTTGTATAGCTTTTGAAATATTTAAATGTTATTAATAGTAATTTTAGGATAGAATAAGTATATATCTTGTTTTAATATGTTAATATATATTGTTTTAATATTGTTAACTGAATAAACAGATCTGGTATGTTATTTTTGTGAGAGATGTAGTTTTAAGTCTGACCAAAAGAGGGCACTTGTGCTCTATGATAAAATGTTTGAAACATGATTGGCGAATAACATGGCATGATGTTTTAAATAAAGAAATTTAATATAATGTTTAAACATAGGAACTGTAAAGATTTCTTTGTGCATCAAATATATATATATATATATATATATACACATCTGTACACAACAGTTTGATTAAGTTTAAATAGATATAATTTTGACCCACAACTCTTCCGTACTGGCTCTGACTGTGTCTAAATGTAAGATTACTTTCACATGGGTAAACATAGTATTCTGTTGACATAAACAGAGCCTGAAACGCTATGAAAATACCTTAGGAATGTGTAGAGTACAACCGTGACAGAAGACAATATTTATGTCGTCACGGTTAAATCCGAAGCATATGTAAAAAGGCCTCATTGTTATTTAAACAAGCTTCTTAAAATAAAGCGTAACATTACGGCTGTAAAGATAGCAACATGAGACTGTCTGTGAACATTCCAACAATGTTCTCTGGACAGCTTTTCTCAAAGTTAGAATAGGAAAGATAGCCAGTCGTGATCGTTGTACCCAAAACACTGTGAAATAAAACAAGACTAGATAATATTTAAAACGCATGAATAAATGTAATATTAACAATATAATTAAAACATTTCTAAATCCCGATCCGCATGAGATTCGAAAGCTAAACATTTTTATTTCAATTTATCAGAATGACTCTGTGTGAGTGAGTGTGTGTGTGTCTGTGAGTGAGCCAGCTTAAACTAAACACAATTTTGGGAAACATTTCATTCACGGAACGGTCATTCCTGCGCTAGGAGGAAATCTTTCTCCTGGAAAAATGTAAGAGGAATTTTTATTTATTTATTTATTGTTTTATCCCCCAATTTCATTATTAGGCATGTTTTTTATACAACCATCAGATTATATGTATGTGCACACATATTGTGATATGTTCTCATGATCTGTTAGAATTGTCTACTTATTCTTTTATTGACCTTAAAACTAATATCTTTCTCACATAGCCCATACAGTGGGTCAAAAGGTCAAACTCATCAATCAAGTTGACATAAGCTCCCGGTTATCACTACTAGCCTGGATGCTGCCAGGGGTTTCTGTTATACTGTTAGATGACGCCAGCAAGAGGTTGACTACTACTCTTATACTGTTGACTACTTATGCTACTCATAACCCCCTTCAAGAGTCAAGTCATCATTATTTATGTAGCGCTTTTTACAATGCAAATTATGTCAAAGCAGCTTTACAGTATTAAACAGAGAAATAGTGTGTCGAAATAGTGTGTCATTCTCTTCTGGCCAAACGAAACCAGCAGTTCAGTTCCAGGCTGCAGCAAAGTCACATTGTGCAGAGGAATCATCTGGTTCCTGTGGTCTTGTCCCGGTGGCCGTTTAGGAGACCCTGCCTTGGAATGCAACCGGACACGCGGACCCCAGATGGGTAAAACCCCCCGGATGTGGGAACGGACCATTAAAATCTTCAAAAACATTCCTTAGGTCTTCATTTATCGCCTGCCATCCTCTGAAACGGTCAAACAGCTGAACAAACATCATATGTCATCCCCGGAGGTCATACATTGACGTCGGAATTTCACATATGCCGGCTTTCACATCTGGACAGGTCACGGGATCAACACAACTGGGTGGTCGCCATGTGGTGGGCCACGTGGGGGGAGGGGAAAGGTCACAAAGGTCAAAGCCATCAATCAAGTTGACATATGCCGTATCATACTGACTACTCAATAATAATTGTGAACCAGATGTAAACAATGTCAAATAAAACAGCAAAAGTAATAGTTCGACCAAAATTGTAACTGTTGTGTCTTGCTCACTTTCCTGCGAACAACTGCGAAGAAATCATGGGCCTAGTGAAATTCAATAACAACGGCAATCACATTTAACAGTAAAGGCTCATATTTGAATATGTTCTTTTCATTTATGAAGAATTATAAGCGTGTGTATGATGTGATTTTTGCACATTTGTTCGAAAGCCTGACAGATTGTTCACAAGATGTAGACAAAACGTTTGTATTGTTTACAGAAAGGATGCGCATGATCTTTTTCTCTGTTAATTACCATGTTGCGTTGATTGTCTATTTTTCTTCAAAGCACCCACGTAGAATGCCTAATGTTGGTTTGATTGCTTGTGTTACATGAGAAAATAAATAATTTTGCCTACCTGATGTAGTACATCTGCCGACCTTGGATGACATCACTTCTAAACTGGCCAGGGCAACAGTCTTTTCTAGCCTGAGTAGTGATAACCGGGAGCTTATGTCAACTTGATTGATGAGTTTGACCTTTTGACCCATAATTATATCCATATGCGACCTTTGACATCATAATTGTTTCCATATGCGAAAACCGGCGTGCGTGAAATCCGTCCTTATGGGAAGTGTTCCTGGTTCCGGTTGACCTAATTAATGCAGCTTAAAAATCCTTTAACGGATTTGAATATTATAAGCGTATTAGTGTGTTATGTGTAAGCCAGGTTGAAGAGATGGGTCTTTAATCTAGATTTAAACTGCAAGCGTGTGTCTGCCTCCCGAACAATGTTAGGTAGGTTATTCCAGAGTTTGGGCGCTAAATAGGAAAAGGATCTGCCGCCCGCAGTTGATTTTGATATTCTAGGTATTATCAAATGGCCAGAGTTTTGAGAATGCAGCGGACGTCAGCTGTCATTCTCTGTGTGATTTATCAATACTGAAAGTTAAATCAGAAACAGTCAGTGACACAAACTGAAAACATATTAATTTCATTTACGCTCTCATTTATATTAAATTATAGTCAGAAGCTGCTTTTAATACAAAATCTTACCTTTGAACAGAACTTTACACATGATTTCACATTCAAAGTAGATGTGGAGCAGTGTGATGCATGAGCATGGCTTCAGTGGCTCTGGGTTACTGGTGTTTAGTGATGATGAGACAGAAGACAGAAGCAGCCGGATGAACTCTGAAGTGTGTAGAGATATACTCTCTGCCCAGATTCAGTCAAATGCAGCAAAGCTGATTGAGCGGCGCTTCATAGTACAAATGAACAATGACCCAAAACATACAGCAAAAGCAACCCAGGAGTTTTTGAAGATAAAAAAGTGGATTATTCTGCAATGGCCAAGTCATTCTCCTGATCTCAACCTGATTGAGCTGCATTTCACTCGCTGAAGATAAAACTAAAGGCAGAAAGAGCCACAAACACACAACAACTGAAGTCAGCTGCAGTAAAGGCTAAAGCATCACAAAGAAGAAACCCAGTCTCTGCTGATGTCCATGAGCTCCAGACTTAAGGCAGTCATCGCCTGCAAACGATTCTCAACAAAACATTCAAAATAAACATTTTATTTATGATTATATT